GCAAAAATAATAAAAAAATCAACAGTGGAAAGTTTTAACTTTTAACTTTCTGACAGGCATGCTCTAAGTAAATTTAGCTTTGTTGTAAGATACCTTTAAACCTTTATTAGTAATCAGTCTTGTTAAAACTCGTTAAAAAGAACCAAAGACTTATTATGCTGAAGAAATTTAAAAGTGAGTTGATAAAATATATTATCAAATAGTTTATTGGATGGATTGGCTTTTGCATTTCATACATGCCAAAGTTGGCTTCTATGAGATGGTATATGGTCTTATATCATTTTATAGGGTCATTACATTGAACTTCTTTTTATATTCTTTTGCAGAGGTTTTTGAAGAAGTCTTGGAGATTGTTTCATATATGACCTTCTTTTCTCCGACTATATCGTTGAATATGTGGAGCCTTTGGCCGTTGATGATTGAAGCATTAGCTGATTGGGCAATAGACTTCTTTCCAAGTATGATTTGATTCGACTTTCGTTTTGCCATTGTTCCTTCATTATGTTCATATCTTAATGTTTTAGGAAATTTTAACTAGACATTATAGAGTAACACTTCTAACTGTTTTCTTCTTATCTATAGTAGCTAAAATTACTGATCTAAAACTTCTGCTTTATGCATGTTTGCTTAACATCGCATTGTCAAATAAATAATTTCTGTAGATTTGTATTGTTTCTAAGTGTGGCTGTTTTCATGCAGATATTTTGGTTCCTTTGGACAACTATGTATCTAGGGGAACAGCACATTTTCTTTCCTGCAAGGAACTGGACTACCAGCAAAGTCTTTGGAATATGATTTCATCTGTGAGTGCATTTTTAGCTATAAAAAGTTGCCTGTAGATGGAAAACTTTGGAATATGTCGATCTCCTTGGTTATGTAACACCTATATCATTTACTTTTTCTTTTGCAGATTATGGCTGATAAAAATTTAGAGGACAATGATATTGAACCTGCCCCAAAGCTGATTGAAGTAGTGTTTCAAAACTGTAGAGGGCAGGTGGATCACTGGGTTGAGCCATATTTAAGAATCACACTTGACCGATTGCAACGAACGGAGAAATCACGGTTGAAATGTCTTCTTGTACAAGTGGTAAGGTGTTAAATATATAGCTGTATTCTTTCGCAGCAAGTCATATTTCATGTGCTCGTGTCTTGTATATATTACACATTTTGTCTGTTGCTTTTTTTTTCTGTCAGAAATGTTTTGAATTCCTGGAAACGTTTTTGGTCTATGATTCCCTAACAATGCACTGGTCTTCTTTAACCAGATTGCCAATGCAGTCTATTACAATGCAGCTTTAAACTCAGCATATTGAATAAGTTTGCTGTTACAACGGAAGTTCAACCTTTGGTTCCAATTGTTGCAACAAGTCAGAAAGAGTGGTGTACGGGCTAATTTTAAGCGGTAGGTAGTTTTGTATTTGCTTTGATCATTTTCAGTATCAGTCTGTGCTAGCCTTGGGCATTATATCATTTGTTTTACAATGAAGTTTATACTTAGTATTGTCTGGCTATGCTTAACAAGTTATCTGGCTTCTACAGGGAACATGATAAGAAAGTGTGCTGCTTGGGTCTTACGTCACTTCTTGCACTTCCCGGTGAACAGATAGCCGGGGAGGCTCTTGGGCGTGTATTCAGGGCTGCCCTTGATCTCCTGGTAGCGTATAAGGATCAAGTTGCAGGTTTCTATTTGTTGTATTTTTATATTGTTTTGGGGGGAGGTTGTTGCTTCCTTTTTGAGATTTGTATCCTTGTCTTTCTGTGTTTTATTATGCATTATTTGTGCAAGCAGAAGCTGCGAAGGAAGAAGAGGCTGAAGATGATGATGACATGGATGGGTTCCAGACTGATGATGACAACGACGATGGTTCTGACAGGGAAATGGGAGTCGATGCAGAGGATGATGATGAAGCTGATAGCCGCAGGCTTCAAAAGTTAGCTGCCCAGGTATGCCTTGTTTTTATCCTTGAAGCCCTTTATTTCACTCTACCTGACCTTGTTTTCTCTATAGGCTAAAGCTTTCCGTGCTAATGACGACGACGACGACTCTGATGATGACTTTACTGATGATGAAGAGATGCAGTCACCAATCGATGATGTTGACCCTTTTATTTTCTTTGTAGATATTGTCAAGGGTAAATGTTTATAGTCTTGTTTCCATGCATCTTCTGCTTTTGTCGATTTTGCCACGGCGTTGTTTGAAATGAGGACCTTTTTCTTTCCTTCCTTTAGCTCTGCAAGCATCAGATCCTGTGAACTTTCAGAACCTTACGCAGACACTGGATTTCCATTATCAAGCTCTTGCAAATGGCGTTGCTCAACATGCTGAACAGCGGAGAGCTGAGATCGAAAAGGAGAAACTGGAGAAGGCATCTGCTGCTCCATCATGAGTTCGTCTCTGACTTGAATTCCCGGTGTTCGCTAAGAATACATCGATAATCTCTTTGTTTAGAAATGCTTTTATGAGAACCATTATTTGTTTCCAGTTCCAAAGTGATCGAGCCTCGAAAGATTTACGTCTAAATCCATGGAGCTTTGTGTACAAAAACTACTCGTTCATCTGCCGGGCGCAGGGTTACGAAACTACGAGTTTTCCGCTTTTATCAGGTTTGTGTTTTTGCTTCCTTTTTAGTCCTTTACATTCCTCATTTTCTCTGCCATTTTCACATTATTCGTAGAAATTTTGGTTGCCATATTGTATGAATATGACGTCATATTTATTCTTTTTTATATTATGGGATTAATGGAGAAAAACACACCTTGGGATTATTAGTGTAAATAAATCGAGCTTGAACGAATAAGTTTGTATTTGTGCTCTTTTGTTTAATTTTAGGGTGCTAATGTTTGGTTTATGTTCGTTTATTTTTTTAGTATCGTGTTTGTGTCGTTTTTTTTTATTTTTCAAGGTGTTTGTGTTCGTTTTTATTTAACGCTCGTGAACGTGTTTTTGAACATGTTCGTTTAAATGTTCACAAACATGTTTGGTTTTATGTTCGTTTAGCGATTGTGAATATGTTCATTTAGTGTTCGTTTATAGTTCGCGAACATGTTTGTTTAGAGTAAAAGGGAAAAGAGAGTAACGAGAAGTTTTTGTGTGTGTTATATTATAATAGGGAAAACGGTAAAACTACACAATCAGTGCATAAACTTCTTAGGATTTAAGGTTAAAATTCAAATTTTATCACATATTTAATTTAATAAGTATCTTGACTATTTAAAATATAAAAAATAAATGAGTTTATGTACGAGTTTGTTTGTGAATTTAAATGAATCGAACACGTCTGTGTTCGTGTTCATTCAATTATTAAATGAGCATAAAAATTTTGTTTGTATTCTTCTATTTAACTTAATAAACAAATATTATATGAACGGTTTCTAAATAGTTTATTAAACGTTTTGTTCATTTACATCTTTAATTGTTGGATACAATCTTTCTTGCATAGTTTGTGTCTTTCTATATACTTTCGTATGAAATTTTTATGTTGGGTTAGTCGGATATTTTTCATCTTAAATATGTTTTTATTTTGTTTTCTAAATTTTTTAATTTAAACCCGGTTAAAAAAAGCTTAACTAAAATATTCGAATTTGAATTTTATGTTAATTTTCACCTACTATCAGGGGTGGATAGGGGTGGATATATGCGGGCGTAGGGATCAAGTGCATACTTATTATTTTGAGAAAATTATTAAAATTAGTTTAATTTTTTATGCCCTCAAGTTATAAGGTTTTGCGCTGATTAATCTAGATCGATCCAAGTCGAACATTGATTTTGGTGGGTGAGTCTCTCAGCTAGGATTTTCTGTATACACAAGAATTCGAACATGAGATATTGCTTAAGCGATATCAAATTGCTTACTACTTGAACTAACATTGTTAGTAAATTTAGTTTAATTTAAAAATGCGAAAGAATAAAAAAGGAAATTTATGTACTCATTTTTTTTCCTAAAATAAGGTCTGTTTGTTTACTTGTAATTTATTTTTCGAAAAATATTTTCTTCATTTTTTAGTGTTTGGTTTATAGAAAACAGATGGTCAATTCATTTTCCTGATCAACTGAATTTTCTTTACATATTTTCGAAAATGACTTACCATATGATTTTTCGTATGTCATTTTATGAATTTTTCACTTCAAAGCATAAACTCTCAGAACATTATTATTTTATACATTTAATATTAATATATTATTTTAATATCATTTTAATAAAAAATGTAATTATTAAATTATATTTATTGATAATTTAATAATATAATATAATATTTTTATTGTTATAGTTATATTATTATTATAATGTATAATGTTTTACTTTTGTTTAAATAATATATAATAAACAATTAATAAAATTAATATTATTTATTAATTTCATAAAATAATATTATTGAATATTAATATATACTCTTTAAAATACAATATAAAATTCTTATTTAATATTATAATTTTTAATAGTTTAATAATATTATTATTTTAATAAGTAAATAATATAATTAATAATATATTATTTTTATTTTAATAAATAATTAGTATAATTTATAATAATTTTGTTTTAGTAAAATATAATAATCCTAATATTTTTGTTTATAAATTTGTAGATATATAAATTATTCTAATATTCTAAAAATAATATTATTATTTAGTTAGTAAATAATATTATTTATTGTATTTGATGTTTATAATAAAAAACTTTTATAAAATTTATTAATCAGTAAAAAATAAATTACATAACATTATCCAAACACTGTAAAATGATTTTTAAAAAATATAATTCTAGTTTATTTTTTGAAATCTATTTTTTGTAAAATAAATAAAAAATTTAGACCTTATTTTTTAAAAATTTCTAACTGCGTACCATGATTGATTGATAATTAAGATTCCTATAAAAGAAAAATGAAAAAAACCAGCACTTTATCTGTCGGTTAGCTTGATTTGGTATATAGATGTGTAATGACGAGAGCCACGTAAATGCCTTTATGGAATCACATTCCCCAACTACGTTTACGTCTCTGCCAAACATCAAAGGGACCGCCATTATTGCTCTTGATAACCAAATTCAAAGCTTTGGGGTCTGTACCCACAATTTACCAGCAAAAAAGAAAAAAAAAATCTCATCTTGAGCAAGCTCGATCATGGGTTCTGCCGGCGAATTCATACACATTGTAATGCTTCCTTTCATGGGTCACGGCCATCTCATTCCATTCCTAGCTTTAGCGAAGCAGATCCGTCGCCAAACCGGCTTCAACATCGCCATAGCCAATACTCCTCTCAACATCCAGTACCTCCGTTCCACTCTCCGGCAGGACCCCAATCCCGGAATCCGCTTGTTGGAGCTCCCGTTCGCCAGTTCCGATCACGGGTTGCCGCCCGACACGGAGAACACCGAGGACTTGACGTTGGATCTCATCGGTAAGCTCTTTTCTTCTTCCGTTTGTTTGAGGACCCCGTTTCGTGATGCGTTGTCGGATGTGGTTACACGGCAGGGAAGACCACCTGTTTGTGTTATTTCTGATGTGTTCTTCGGTTGGGCTGTCGATGTCGCCAACGGTGTGGGAACGGTAAACGTTACGTTCTCGACGTGCGGTGGTTATGGGACGATGAGTTACGTTTCGTTGTGGTTGAATCTTCCTCATCGGAAAACGGATTCCGATGAGTTTAACGTGCCTGGATTCCCTGAAAGGTGTAAATTTCACGTCTCTCAACTGCATGGGTTTTTGAGGAATGCTGATGGGAATGAACTATGGTCCAGGTTCATGCAGCCACAGATTTCTGGTTCTTTGAAGTCATTTGGGTGGTTGTGCAACACGGTGGAGGAGATTGAGCCATTTGGTTTGGATTTGCTGAGAAAATTCATCAAGTCCCCTGTTTGGCCAATTGGTCCTCTTTTGCCCAACCCATGGTTAGTTAACCCATCGTCTTCGTCGTCCTCGAATCGTGATAGTTTATATAGACAACATGCAGGGAAAGAGCCTGGGATTTCACCTGAAAAGTGTCTTCAATGGCTTGACATGCATGGTTATGACTCAGTTCTTTACGTTTCTTTTGGTTCTCAAAACACCATTAGTCCATCACACATGATGGAACTGGCAATTGGGTTGGAAGCCAGTGGGAAACCATTCATTTGGGTGATTAGGCCTCCACTCGGATTCAACTTAAAGTCCGAGTTTAAATCCGAATGGTTACCGCAAGGGTTCGAAGATCGAATGAGTAAGAGTAACCAAGGGTTGTTGGTGAAAAACTGGGCGCCGCAATTGGAGATCTTGTCGCATAAGTCGACCGGGGCGTTTTTAAGCCATTGCGGGTGGAATTCAACGTTGGAAAGCTTGAGCCAAGGTGTAAAGATCATAGGGTGGCCGATGGCGGCCGAGCAGGCTTATAACTCGAAGATGCTGGTGGAGGAAATGGGAGTCGCGGTGGAGTTGACGACGGGGATTCAGGGTTCTGTTTCGAGTGAACGGGTTAAGAAAGTGACGGAAATGGTGATGGATAAAGAAGGGAAAGGAGGGGATATGAAGAAAAAAGCTGAAGAAATCGCGGAACATATAAGGGCAGCTGTGAAGGATGAAGGAGGTGACAAAGGGTCTTCTATTAAAGCGTTAGATGATTTTGTTTCTGCCATTAAAACAAGGATATGAAAAACAGTCCTATGAAAATGGATATCATTGTTGTTCTTAGAGATATTCATAGATCGAATTGAATTTATAATAGTATAAAGACTTTATTATACTATTATGGAGATGAATAAATCAGATTAAAACTCGAGCTACCCAGCTTCCGCTCGGTTATCGAATCCATACGAGCCGACATGTCGGGTGTCAAATGATTTTCCCAGTCCTCGACACTTCCTTTACGGAAGAACACATTGTTGTTCATTTCCAAGGCCGTATTCTCTCCAAATTTTCCATTTTTATTCACTTCCAGGTTGCTCAGATGATCGAAACTGCACATTCTGACTATCTTTTCAACCACTTCCGTCTCGTTCTTCTTCGTCGGTGAATCCATAGCCGATGAATCCGGCCAGTTTTGTTGCGTAAAAGGCCGTGTCTTCCTTCAATTATTCGTATTTCAAGAACAAGACTTTATCGGGCTGATCCAAGCTTGCTTTCCAGTACCCTAATACATGATCCCAGTAAGGTCCACGAAACGATTCTCCATCGCAGAAGAACTCGAAAGCTTTACCGAGTGGCACCGGTTCTATATTCCTTGATGTCGTCACTTTGGGAAAGAAATGATACATGGAGACGAAGGTGTCTTTGGGGTCCCTGCAAATGTAAACAATCTTGCAACTCGAAGATGGATCCGATACAGATTTCGGCAAACAAGAGAAGGGCATATGAGTGGGGATTAGTGGGTTTTTGGGATCTCGTTCGAAAGGCGTATCGACGTTGGTGATCTCCAAATTGCGAAGCAAATCATGGGGCGACTTGGAGAGTAAAGGGTTGCAGCCATTGCCGGTAGTTGTTCTCAACACGATGGCGAAAGCGAGGGCTTTCAGCCAGGTTGTGCCGGTTTTTTGGAGCAGTACATAGGAAGATATCAGATGATTGGGCCAGGAAGTGTCGTTGAGCCCTTAGTATTCCCTCCACAATAATGGCCGGGAACCAAAAGCCTTGATATTCAACGAGTTCATCGTTGAATAAGTCAGACCGGCTAGTACCGGAAGGTTTGACAGAATGTCTTCTCCATCATCACCATTGGAACTTTGGTTTCTCTTGGAATCTACGGTGGACTCCATGGAAGGAAAGCAAAGTGAGTCTCCAAGTCAAACCATGAATTTAAACCATCATACTCTCTTCCTCTCTTATAACTGAATGTACAAGTTCTACTTTCTTTGTTTGCCGTACATGGAGCCTGTGGAGTCTTCAATGTCCACATTAACCCCTTGGTTGCCGTATAGATACTACACGAAAGGCGTCGAGAGGCATCGGCAGGGGACAGTTGTTCTTCGCTTGTTTTAGAGTTGTCGTCAGTTGTAATTAGGAGTTCTCCGTTATCGTATTCCTCTACTATATCGGTCTCATCAAAATTTTTGGAATTCTGCTCTGTAACTTCTATTTCGATTTTGTTGTGTAACTTGTAATACTTTGATTTAGTGTGACCCTTCTTACACTAATTTTAAGTTTTTCCTCGATTTAAGGATTTTGACATGTCCCTGTTTTTACCTCCGGAATTACGTTTTACTTTTTCTTTCGCGGTTGTTATTAGTCGATCCATGTACTACGAGACCTTTTGTTTGAGACTTCGATATAAATACGAGATGTTTTATTTTATCATACGAGTGCATGTTATCATACACTTCTTCAATAGATGTTCTATTTTGTCATACGAATGCATGTTATCATACACTTCTTCAAGAGTAAGTGCTTCACGACTGTACATTATAATGAATAACATCACAACTGCATTGATTCATTCAATGAGGAGGAAGACAAGAAGACGAATTCCAGAAAGCTTATTTTGTTCTTGTAATATATGGTTTTGATTATAATACATAGAATTTATGATATTTTTATCGAGTTTGAATAGATCAAATTCAAACTCGAACCTCCCAGCTTCTGCTCGGTTATCGAATCCATGCGAGCAGCCATGGCCGGTGTCAAATGATTTTCCCAGTCCTTGACGCTTCCTTTTCGGAAGAACACATTGTTGTTCATTTCCAAGGCCGTATTCTCTCCGAATTTCCCATTTTTATTCACTTCAAGGTTGCTCATATGATCGAAACTGCACATTCTCACAATCTTTTCAACAACTCCGTCTCCTTCTTCCTCATCGGTGAATCCATAGCTGATGAATCCGGCCAGTTTCGCGACGTAAAAGGCCGTGTCTTTCTTCAATTCTTCATATTTCAAGAACAAGACTTTATCGGGCTGATCCAAGCTTGCTTTCCAGTACCCTAAAACGTGATCCCAGTAGGGTCCGAAAGGCGATTCTCCATCGCAGAAATGCTCGAAAGCTTTACCGAGTGGAATCGGTTCTACGTTCCTCGAAGCCTCGAAGCCGCCACTTTGGCGAAGAAATGATACATGGATACGAAGGTGTCTTTGGGGTCCCTGCAGATGTAAACAATCTTACAGCTCGAAGACGGATCCGATACAGATTTAGGCAAAGAAGAGATGGGTATATGAGTGGGGATTAGAGGGTTTTCGGGATCTCGTTCGAAAGGCGTATCGACTTCGGTGATCTCCAAACTGTGAAGCAATTTATGCGGCATCTCAGAGAGTAAACGACCAGCGTTGTCGCCCGTGGTCATTCTCTATACGATGGCAAAAGTGAGGGCTTTCAGCCAGGCCGTGCCGGTTTTCGGAGCGCTGCAAAGGAAGATATCGGACGATCGAGCCTCGAAGTGTCGCTGTGCCCATAGGATTCCCTTCACAAACATGTCCGGGCACCAGAAGCCTTGATACTCGACGAGTTCATCGTTGAATAAATTCAGACCGGATCGTACCACAAGGTTCGACAGAGTGTTTTCTCCATCATCCTCTATTTGTCAAGGAGCATAATCATCCTCTATTTGTTACCTCCTCAAAGGATCATGTAAGTTCCCTTCATTTTGTTCGAAAGAACTAGGCTGATATTTCTCTGTTCTGCTTTCACTACTGAAAAATGATGCTTTATGTTACATGTTATACAATCCGAGATCGCTACTTTTGTTGGAGAGATGGGAGATTGTTATGTTTCTCCGACTTCGTTTTCCATGAAGTACATGTGTCTAGCACGTATGTTTCAATGCTTATCCGAACAGGGTAAGGCGATGATCCTTCGAGGAACTCCAGATAAATGGAACTTGGAAAAAAGCCGAAATTCACGTATCAGATGCGTACCCGAGTTCGACACTCACATCCAAGTTTCAGAGGAATATGTGCAAAAATGTGTTTGTATATCTGTTTCAATGTTATGACAACTACATAAATCAATTCAACCATTCTTTTTTGGATGCAACAGGATGACAAAGATAAGAAAATCCAGGAATTATCATCCGAGTTGAATCAAGCAAATGAAGAATTAGTGCTCTGTAGGGTGGAATTATGTGCATTTATGGCCGTCATCGAGGAACACGCGGACCGGCTGTCAAAAACGGTCGAGGGTGCCATTCGAAACATCAAAGAGGTCGAATCTAGAGATCACCAGTGTCATAATTTGTAGCATTCATGGTGTTCTACCCTTGATAAATCCATGAAAAGGGTTAGCTCGTTCTCACAATTATGTTATTCTTGTAGTAGATTTCCAGAAAAGCTCATGCTTTGTTCCATCATCCTAGATTTTGTAAATTGCTTGTAGGCTTCTAATCTTAATGAACAATATTTTCTCTATGTATTTGGTCTAATATATATATATAGCTTCCAAATAAGCACATTCAGAACATGATTTACAAATTCAGACATTTCATAATACAGAGTAAAGTTTGTTCTTTGATCTTTCCTGGTAAGTCTACTACAAGGTATGTAATTAATACAGAAACCTTTGATGAATCTTCAAGATCCTGATCTGGGACACACAACAACCATTGAAGTCTGGGGGAGAAAAAAAAAACATGCCGCATGTTGTTGTAATGAAAATATATGGAACTTTCTGCAAATTGTTAAAATGATCGAAAACACGATACATACTAGTATCCGACACTCATGCATTTGCGGTAAATTTATTTTCCCTTTTCGGCAAGACTAAGGCGACATACATACCTTAATAGCAGCTGGCATCTAATTTCCTCCGTCTGCAGGACCACTCGAGTCACCGGACTCCTGTTTCTCCCTCCAGATTGCATGCACCTCATCGGTCCGGAACCGCTGAGTGAATGTCGAATCCTCGAGTGGTGTTGTGGACCCATGAGCGTAGGCAAGGAGACCCGTATACGCAATCATTGCTCCATTGTCAATGCAGTACCTGTCATCGGTAGCAAACAGTCTTCCACCTCGTTCGGAACACATTGTCCGCATCATCTCTTGTAACCGCTCGTTGCAGCCCACACCACCAACTATGAGAACATCTTTCGAGTCGCAATGAGCCATCGCCCGTTCCGTTATCTCCACAAGCATTGCAAATAGAGTTTCCTGCAACATTTCACATTATGTGTTGAAAAAAAATACAATAGGATGTTGACATAAAGATCCTTGTCCCCTAAAGCTTTCCGAATATACTTTCGAGTAAGGAACGCAATAGGGTCCTATACGTAATTCACCTGAAGAGAGTAGCATAAATCCGCAGGGGTGCATTCGTTATTTTTAGCTTCTCCTCAGCAGTGGCTTCAATGTAGCTCAGTATTCCACTAAAGGAAACATCCATCCCTTTGACGACGTATGGAAGATCGAAAAACTTTTCGCCTTTCTTTGCTAGCTGGAAATAGAGAAAATCATATCAAGAAGGTCGAATGAAAATGCTTTCGGAGCATGAATTAGAACATGAAACTGGGGAAGAAAGTATGTCCTAGAAAATAATAACAAACTATTCTAGTAACATGGAAACAATGCAAATAGACATATCGAAAAGAACCCGAAAACCACGACTAAGTAACCTATGTAACTTGAAAAGTACAACATAACATTATCAAGGTACCTGCTCGATGTTATATCCAGGACTTGGATCATTTGAGAGGGTCAAAACTCGAGCAAACCGATCCAAGCAATTCCCAACAGCAATATCAATAGTCTCTCCAAAGATTCTGTACCGCCCTTCACTATAGGCGATAACCTGAGTATTCCCACCACTAACATACAACACAACGGGATCATCTGCCCCGGTAACGATCCTTCCCATCTCAATGTGCAACACAGTGGTTAACCGCAACAATCGGCTTCTTCCACAGCAGTGAAAGAACCCTAACAACTATGGCAGACACTTGTAACGGTGCACCCATACCAGGACCCTTGGTGTAACAAAGGCAGTCGATGTCATCAGGCTTTATCTGTGCCTCTTTTAAAGCCGATTTAACCAGTGGGAGCACATGCTGAAGATGGTGCTGAGCAGTTTCCCGAGGAAGGAAACCTTGACCGGGCGGAGTAATGTAGGTGTGACGCGGGTTCGACAAAATGGTGCCGTCTAATGTCACGAGGCCAACACCAATCTTGTTGGCTGATCCTTCGAAACCGAGGGCCATCATCTTCTTCATTTTCAAAGAAATGTAACGGACCAAGTACCAACCTTTAAAATTAAAAAAAATGACCTTTCTTAGCATATATGCACCACAAAAATTATACAAAGTTCACCCATCTAGATATACATGAAGATATCCACAATTCCACATCAAACGGTAAATTATTCAAAAAGAAACCCCCATATATATCTATCAGTATCTAATTCATTATAAGCGACGTTTCGAACTCATTTTTTCTTCTATTCACAACATCAAGATCTAATGTCTCGTCGCACCAGACCGATAGTAAAAAAAAACCTTTAACCTTAAATTTCTATAATTTTGTTACATATTCCACAAAAAATAAGCAAATATGCAGCAAATAAACTATACAAAATTCACTCATCTACATATATTTGAAGACTTCCACTTCCCAAAAAGCAAGCTGCTCCATAAGGTTTTAAGCTAAACTCTAAAAATAACACTTCATTCCTTATTCTATAATTTTACACAAAAAACCTACCTTAAATTTCTCATCTTTTGCTTCAAATTCCATCTCTCTTGCCCAAAAACCCCCCACCGAAAGCAACTTAGATAGGATTATTTAAATTGTTTTGTTTTTTTTTCTTTTCAGAAACTACCACACCCTGTTTAGATTCGATATATAAAGAGAAGCATGAAAGAGAGCATACATAAGATAAGTGAAGATATATGAGAAACTTACCGGCCGTCAAAAATGGCGTTTGAAATGAATAGCTGTGCGGCGGAGCGGGAAGCAACAACGGCTACTGACAGCGGAAACTGAGAAAGAGAGAGAGAAAGAATAACGAGAATAGGGTTTCTGCTTACTGTTATTTCGTTAAAGGTTTGACTTCTTTATAAAATAAAATATTTTTGGAAATTGGTAGTATATTTAGATGGCTTAATACCAAAATAAGTTCTCAAACTATACCAGTTTTCTCAAATAGGTGCCTAAACTAATTTTCGTCTCATCCAAGTGTCTAAAGTTACAAACGTTACCATTTAGGTGCCTAGGCCGGTAACAGTGTTAATTTTCCTGCTAAATGACATGTCACACAACCTGATAATTTTAAAAAATTATTTAAAATTTAAAAAGTAAATTAATATATATTTTAAAAAATAGAAAACGCAAAATTTGAAATAAACCCAAAACTTTGAAAATATTCATTTCAACCCCTAAACCCACGTTGACCGCCACCTTTTGCCGTCGACGAGCCTTCACCAGACCTCCCCTCCCCCGCCGACCAAAAGCCCCATAAATCGTGACTGATCGACGACATATCAAAGTTTTAAACCGCTTGAACCCTAGGATTAAAATCATGATTCCACGCGATTTCGATGGCTAATCGAAGGAAAATACGACGACATATGAGTTGGAGGATGGTAGGGACTATGTTGATGGCGGTGGTCGTGACCGAAAAGGCGTCAACGACGGATTTAAGGTTTGGATTTGAGATTTTGGGGGTTATTTTATAATATAAGGAAAGTTAATGTGTTTTTTTATAAATATCATAATATTTTTAATATTTAAAAAAATAATTTTCAAAATCACCAGATTGTGACACATGTACTTAACGGAAAAATTTATGCCGTTGACGGCCCGGGCATATAAATGGGTAACGTTTGTAACGTTAGGCACCTGAATGAGACAAAAATTAGTTTAGGCACCTATTTGAGAAAAACGATATAATTTGTGCACTTATTTTGGTATTAAACCTATTTAGATAGAATGTGGGTAGTTTGTTAAAAAAAGGTAAATTATGCATTTAATACCTAAACTATCAGTTTTGATCCGTTTTAATATCTAAACTATTAGTTTTTTTCAAAACCATACCTAAAGTTTAATTTTTACTTAGTTTTTGTTTCATTTTAGTATTCTGTTCAAAATTTAACATTAATTTTGAAAAAAAAAACTAAAAGTTTAGGTACTAAAACAGACTAAAACTAATAGTTTAGATATCAAAAATGTTAAGTTTTTAAAGACAACGTACTAAGATGAAATGAAAACAAAATGATTTTAAAAAAGATTAAAAGTTTAAGTACTAAAATGGACCAAAACTAATAGTTTAGATACTAAAAGAGTAATTTACCCTAAAAAATATTTTTTTCTAAAATATTATTTGCCTTTTCTTTTCTCATAAAATTATGGATAATTTTATCTATTTTTATATTACAATTTTATCTGGTCTTATAATGCATTCTTTTTAAAGCTAAATTTAATATAGTCTCTCCTACATTTATTTGATTATATATCTTTATTTTAGGCTTCCAAATTAAATATTAATAGGCGTTTGCAATTGTCAAAGGTAGACCGTAATTAAATTATGTTAATATTAAGGGTAAACTACATCATCACACTTTGGGCATTTTATCGTTTATACTATTAAACTTTTAATTTTATCAATTATAACACTGAATTTTAATTTTTATTTCAACTATACCACTGAACCATTAAATAATTAACAAAACAATGAGGCTAACGATTGCCGATGTGACTAATAGATGTCAACGTAGACACTTCACCAAAATATCATTTTAATCCTACTGTTAACGATTTAACGAGTCAATGATTATTTGAACCGAGAATCAAAGTTCAAATCTATAATTGACAAAATTAAAAGTTCAATGATATAAACGATACATCGCCTAAAACTCGATGGTATATATAGTTTACTCTAATGTTAATTTGTCAAAATCATTATTTGAAAATAAGAACAAAAAAAATTTATAGAGTAACACTAAAGAATGGCATCAGGATGCCATTCTTTCTTTGTTGTTGTGCAGAGGAAGCTTTTGCCTCAGAATACAGGAAAGAGTTTGCAGATGCTGATATTCGAACTGAGATCTACGAGAACCATTAAAAGGCAACTGCATGAACCGGACTAAACCCGGGGTTCGATGCCGAACATCTTTGCCTCGAAAGGCTGTACATCAACTGGTCCTCTAGTCCTACAAATCATGTGGTTCGAATTTGGAAGCAGAATTGTACAAGGCATTCCAATGGATTGGTATGAACCCCATGGGTTGGCATTCAAACGAACACCGAAAACGGTATACGGATGTGATTTTCCTATGCAAATCGAATCATATGAACGGTGTATGCGCCCGACATAGTATTTCTATACCTGGTTTTGGTCCTATATGTTGACAATGAACGAAATGCTACATGCAAACTATACATGGCTCTGCTGCTCGTTGTTTTCAAATTCCCGGACAATGTCAACTACGTGTTGGATTTTCTTTGACAGACTCTCGTTGTACTCTTCGATTTGCTCAAAGATCAATTCTAGATGCCTTTTATATGTTGCAGCTCTTTTTTTCTCAATGGCTAGCTGCTGTGTTAATTCTCGGATTTTGTGATGTTCATTCTGCAAAAGAAAGAATAAGATTATTAGAAAGAGTTTCAGTACAGAGAATGAATTACAATGTTGAAACCGATGACTTTACGGTAAGAGCATTAAATGGCAACTTGTACCGACGATGTTTAATCCAGAATAACAACTGCATAGATGAGCTACAATGGCAGAATTGCTTATGCGAAAGTAAATTCTGCCGTATTTACCAACGTAAAAAATGGCCATTTGGTCGATTAATGTCTACCGAGGAAATCCCGAATATTAGTTATTATAGTAAAGATGAAAATGAGTTTTTAGAGGCTAAAAACCTGATACTGAAAACAGCCGTGACAGGAAGTTCATAGGCAGATAAAATGACATGAAACAGGACACGGTATTCTCGGTAATGTCAAACAACTCCGATAAGACGACAATGTCTAAAACGTTATACTTTTAAATGACTTAAGAGTTAGCACTACAGCTCTAGTTAGGGCAAACTAGCTCCCATCCATCCAAATATATGAACAACAGCACACAAAAACAAAATATCTGTTGTTTGTTTGAAGGCAAGAGAAGGCAGGCAGTCACGTTAATGACTTCATTTGAGTACACTATTTCTTACCTGACAGGCTATAACTTTGAAAGCCTATTCATATTCTTGCTCCGAATCTTCATTTTTTCAAAAGTATCCGTGTTCGACATGGATATGGAGGGGTATGATTCTTAAAATCTACGGAAAATTTATAAAAATTGAAGCCTTAAATTTTCTACTAGCCCTTCTCCTATTTCCCGAAAATCTCCATCCCCAACTAAAGAAGGTTCAATTTCCACTCAACAAGAATGAACTGATATAGACAGTGAAAGAATATCAACAAAGTAAAGCAGAACTGAATTTAGTACAATAGTGAAAACTGACCGGGTGTTGATCGTATATACACTCCCTTCGACCTTTTCCGGGTGTTAGAGGATGTGTGTGATCCTTCACAAATTTTGTGACAACCCATTTACCTGAACTTAGTTTCCTCACCAAAATCATCGCCCTGCATCCAACCCTCGTCTCTGCCCTTTGCCTCGTGATTTTTTCTCGCTTGTCGGGCGTTCTGAAACCCTCTTTGTTACAAACAAGGGCCCTTCCGATGGGAGATCCATCACGCCTTGAACGGGAAAGTTTGCTTACACGAATGATGAATCCTACCCTCGTGGCATATGCATTATAAAACGCATGTGCAGCTGTCTCAGATTCAAACTCTTGACCCTCATAAGGCTCATCAGCCGGAGCAACCTCTGGGAAGTCGCCACATTCCGGAGAAGTTCGATCCAACTTGTCATTCAGACCATGTTGGAGAACTCCTTCAATAGGATTTTCACCTGTTTCATTTTCATTGTCCATGCTACTACTACCCTCCACTTGCACCGAATTCAAGAGGATGCCACCATTAACATCACCATGAACCCCAAACTCCACTGCAACAACAAGCAATTTTTGTAATTATTTCTATCGAGGTCGAAAATGGCTCAATGCATTCAACTTCATAGAACTAAATTCACCGCATAGTGACATTGGCATTACATTGCATCTCATGAACTTAACAACCGATATTTATCGAAAATCGAACACAAATAAATTTCCTGAAAAAAATTGCTTTCAATGCAACCTACATTGAATCTGATTTCCAATAAAGCTAAGTAAAAAATGCAAGGAAAACACATGATATTTCTAAATGTCAATTCTGAATCAGAAACTTCATAAAAATGAAAGGAGAAAACGAACATAAAAGAAACAGTTTAAAAGATAAGAGCCTTAATTTCACGAGTCCAACTTGAATTCAAGCTTTCTCCTTCGGTCCTTTCTCTTACTTTCGTTTTCCTCGTTTTAACTTTCCTTCATTTTACTAGCAACCAAACAGATTCGAAAAACTAAAATTACCAGAACAAGCAAAATGATACAAGACCTAATAAAGATTCAAAGTTCAAAACCTTATCACCTACACGCACATTTTATCGGAAATCAAACAGCGAATAAATTAATAATCCGAACGAAAAACAAAATATCATTAAATCTATCCATTGGCACTTTACAAGGAGCAATTAATCAAAAAAATTAATTCAAATAAGCGTTAAAAACTAAAATTAAATCTAAATAAATGAAAAAAAAAGAACCTTACTCGAAAATTTAACGTTAATGGAGACGAAATTGTGGATGATCGACTAGGTTATCGGCGAAAGACGAAACTTTCTGGGGCAGTGCGAGACCAGTGTTGGGGATTATAGGGACGCAAAAAGAACGAACGAGGCGAGATTTGATTAGGTTGAATATTACAAAAAGTCAAACACTTTGTGTTAGCTAATGGTATTTCGACACGTGTTCGAACAAGTGGACTGGACCTCGCTTGATCATCGCTTCGCGCTTGGTCGGGCAAAATGGCGGAAGACTCGGGTTTCCTTCCGAAATTCAAAACCCGGCCCTTTTTTTTAAATTTATATAAAAAATTAACTAACCCTTATTCTCATATGTAATGAGATAGGATAGTAGGTTGATTCCAACGTTATATTGAGAGCAGTTTCCGTTGGAGACCTCTAAATTATGAAATACTCTCCATGAGACTCGATCCCACGGCCTCAAGGTTATGAACCTTGTATTCTACCAACTGAGCTGGATAAACATTTATATAGTATTTGATAAATTACTTCTCATTACAGACACATATGAAGACTGTTCAACTATGTATTTATTTTATTTATCCATGCATTGCATTTTATCTATATTTTTAATTTTCTGATTGTCGGAGGTTTTCCACGGAAACTACTCTCAACCTAGCGTTGGGGACAGCCTACCACCCTACCTCCCCTTACCCCATTGCATATAGGAATAGGATTTTATTGTTGTCGATAAATTAAAAATTTATTAATTAAATAAATGAGTATAAATAATATTTGTAAATTTAGTAACTGGATTTTATTCTCTCCTATTTTATTCATTGTACTTTTAAAGTTTTTCAATTTTTTCACTGAACTTAATTCATTTATTTTTTTTCCGGTAATTCATTCATTTCCTCACTAACGACATTATAAATGTGCTTATATATAGATACAAAACGACTTCATTTTAATGTTGTTAACTATTTAACGACGGAGTGACAAAAATATTAAGAAATTCTAAATTTCAGTAAATAAAATAGAAGAGATTAAAGTTTAGAAATGAAATATGTAATTTACCTATAATATTTTTATATTTATTTAATAAACAAATAAAAATATATTTAATTCATTTATATTAACGAACAAACTCATTTATAAATTTGTTTATCGTATTCATATTTATGTTTAGATATCTATTTTTTCAAAAGAGAAAACCTAGATTATAAGCCCACAATCAAGTTTCCTAGGTATTATTCCAGGGGAAGAACATGTAAACAGCCAAAAACTCAGCAGAGCTTCCATGGCTGCCCATAGATACATTACCAAAACACGAACACACATCCACATACATGCATGCATGCATATATATTGATGTTCATCAAAATCAATATTTTGTTCTTCCATCACCGTCTGTGATCACATATTTGAAAGCCCCTCCGCTTGGGATCATAGGCAACACATGTTCTTGATGTGGGACGATCATATCCAACAAGTACGGCCCGGGCGTTTCCAGCAATTTCCGGGTGGCGGCTCGGAGATCTTCCTTCTTCGTCACGCACGCGGCGGGTATTCCACATGCTTCTGCGACTTTCAACATGTTCGGGAATATCTCAGACTCGCTCGACGGGTTGCCTAAATACGTATGAGCTCTGTTCGCCTTGTAAAACCGATCTTCCCATTGGACAACCATGCCTAGATGCTGATTATTTAACAACAATATCTTGATGGGAAGCTTCTCCACGCTGATCGTCGCCAACTCTTGGACGTTCATGATGAAACTTCTATCACAGTCGATGTCTACAACAACAGCCCTGGGATTTGCAACGGCGGCTCCGATGGCAACAGGCAATCCGAATCCCATTGCTCCCAATCCTATTGATCCCCTTCAAGGCCAATTTGACATCTGAACATATAGACACATGAGGCTTCTTATTCTTCCCGATTTCGGCTGAATCGATATCGATATGCACAATCTTGGCCCGGCTGGCAAAAGCCTCGAGTTTTCCGGTCACCCGATCATCAAACCGCACACCAAAAGCAAGCAACAAATCACTCTTATCAACAGCATAATTAGCATACACGGTTCCATGCATCCCAAGCATTTGTAACGACAACGGATCCGAGCTCGGAAACGAGCCGAGACCCATTAAAGTACTGGCAACCGGTATCCCGGTAAGCTCGACAAATCTCTTCAACTCCTCACTGGAGTTCAAACAACCACCACCAACATACAACACGGGCTTCTTCGATTCCGAAATCAATCTCACAATCTGCTCCAAATGAGCCTCACTGGGATCCTTAGGCAATCTAGACATATAACCAGGCAACCGGAGCGGTTCCAATTCGGAACGGCAGGTTGCTGTTGTATATCTTCGGTGTATCAAAACGAGGCCGGGTCGACCCGAGGTAGCTAAGAAGAAAGCTTCACTAACAATCCTAGGGATATCATCAACATCAAGCACAAGATAATTATGCTTCGTAATAGATCTTGATACCTCAACAATCGGAGTCTCTTGGAAAGTATCGGTTCCGATCATTCTCCGAGGGACTTGACCGGTGATCGCCACTATAGGGACGCTATCGAGCATCGCGTCGGCGAGACCGCTCACCAAGTTTGTCGCGGACCGGAAGTTGCAATACAAACGCCGGGAAGGCCGGAGGACCGCGCGTAGCCCTCCGCCGCGAAAACCCCTACTTGCTCGTGTCTTGGGAGGACGTTTCGGATCACTTTGGATTGAGTTAAATCCTGGTGGATCTTCACTGAAGCTCCATCTGGGTAAGCAAACACGTCCTTGACTCCTTGTCATTCGAGGGCTTCCACGAAGAACAAAATCACATTGTGAACAGTAGCAGAAATGGATCCGATATCAGAAGCATACACTCATCCACGATGTATACTGTCAAAAACTTTACAAGATACTAATACATCTAAATATATACACAGAGACAAGGTTTCCTTTCATTTAGAACTTCAAATACAAAAGCATAGTTCGGATCGTAAAACACAACGAGCATTACAAGTGAAATTGTTACCATCGACGGTTGAAATGCTTAATGTAGTTGCATCCGGACTTTGTACATTCCAAAGCAAAATCTAAACAGGGTTTATCGCATCGACTGCAGTTCGGATAGTAATAGACCCTTTTAACAAAAGTGAGAGGGTGCTCATGTTCTTCTCTTTCGAAGATGCTCCCGAGTTTGACAAATGGATACTTTCCGATAACGCATTTGACATGAGCACAAGTATTGCACCCTGTACAATGATAAAACCGAAGACTTGGTTCTCGACTTCCTTCACATATATCACAGAAATGACTTTCCGAATATTTGTTATCATCATGATCAACGAGCGAAAGAAGATGCTCATCGCACTTGTCTCGAACCGTAATAGGCAGTGAGAAGCACATATGATCTAAAGAAATATCGCAATCCTTACAACGGAACATCCCTTCTTCTCCTTTATCACCACAACCACTACTGCCCTCTATAGCCGATGTAGAAACGAAGGGGGTGTTCATGTCCTAGACATGTTCGAGCACCGGGTGTAAGAGCAAGGACACATCCAAAGATGCCTCGGCACATACCTTGTGGAGAAAACCCGCCGTCCTCCGCACAGCCAAAACACGATGCTGTGAGCTTCCAATAGATAGCCGGCTAGCTGAAACGTCGGGCTGAGATCGTCTCCGCACATCTTCTGCACCGAAATGGATTTTTATAACTATACCTGATGAGGTTTTCTTTCAAGAAAACCAAAGGATGTTGGTGGCCATAGTTATTTGAGTCCCCCATTTCTCCTTCCAAGTAGCAGAAGAAAACAAAGCAAGGCACCTCTAATGGGGGCTTTACAGCACAACTAAAGCCAATTTGGGTATTGAGAGAAACTAGAAAGGCTGAGATTCCTCAGTTAAAAGATTCAAGATCAACGTCTACCTTACTGTTCTTGGATCTTGTAATATTTAATAGCAAAAACTCCAGCTATTGCTCTTGCAACTTGTAATATTTAATAGCCAAAACTTTACCTACTGCTCTTGGAACTTGTAATACTTAAAAGTTGAGATGGGCAATTAAACCTCAAGAAATGGAGATGCATAGTCATGATATTTATGACGAGAAAAATATTGCATATCGAGAGGGGTTGCAGAATTTCAATACTACAATGGCTATTGAGATAATTGGACAGTTCTTGCAAAATAAATTGACTTCTAGGATTCTTTACCTGTCACGGAAAAACATGTATGTATCTTGTTAATTACGTAATGTTTTTTGTTCTTTTCCCGAGCATTTTGGTTTTCCAAGCATTGGAATGGCAAGTTCTCTTATCCTAGTTAATCACAAAGGAAAAAACTGGATACCATTTGCATATTGTTTTATCTGTAAGATCATACATTCAATGAATAGTGTTTATGCATTCTTCTGCATGTGTATCACATAAAGTTCTTTCCCTTTTTTTGTTGGGTAAATTTAGGTTAGTTCTCCCCTCAGGTTTGTTTCTGTTTAGAGTGTTCTACTTGAACAACACATAACCATTTTTTGGGTATGGTAATTGCTTAACAATCTTACTTCACTCGCCAGGCCTTCCCACAGGGCAAGTTTCATTCGAAGTTTGCGGTTTCTTGGGGCAAATTCAGCAGCACTGAAAAGTTCGAAGGCTTTAACTTCTGAGGATCTTCTAGAGTTGACATTAGATTGTCGTATTGTATTTTCTAGAAAATGCGAAACAAGTTCGGGGCAAAAGTTCCATGTTATGGCATTTGGATCTCTGGCTTCTTCAGCTGGTTTATGCCTTGGAGCTAGTCCTTCTGATCTTTGGCTCCCTCTTGATCTCGTATTAGAAGATGCTATGGATGGCTATCTTGTTAACACGACAAGTGCAATTGAAAGTATAACTGGTAAAGTTACATATCTTCTTTGGTTGAATGATATTTTCAGTTGAAATCGTTAGGTGGCCTGTTGTAGCAAAACTGATATGAAAGAATGTGAATGAATATCACACTGTGCAGGTCTGATTAAACTCTTCAAGCAATAAATGGGACCAGCTGGCATGACACCTTTTTAGGCCTTTGGATCAATCAAGTTTTTTTTTTTTCCCAAACCAATGAGTGCAATTTTTTTTGAATAATCTAGGG